CCCTCAAGGAGATCCTTGAGGGAAGGGAGGGCCCTTATAGCCATGCCTGTGCCCTCCTTGAGCCCACCCTCTCCATTGGGTTAAGTGCTCCCCAATCCTGTCTTGGGCTGCCCACTAAATTTCCCTGATGTTCCTGCCAAGAGGGTGATGCTTGCGAGGAGCAGCAAGGAGAGTACCCTCCAGAGAGGGCAGCTGGCAACCGAAGCACTGTTACAACATCACCAAATGCCTGCTCCCCACTGTGAGTGCGACCCAGAAATAGGCTGCAATGTTATATTGTGTTTTTTAAAAGGCCTTAACATAAGAAGGGCCTGCTGGATCAGGCCAAGGGCCCATTCTAGTCCCTGATGCCTCTGGGAAACCTGGAAGCAGGATCTGAGCACAGGAGCCCTTCCCTTCCCTATGATTTCCAGCAACTGGTGTTCAGAGGTGTGGTGATCACACAGGGTCCCCGGACGTTTAACTGTCTATTGATCCCTGTGCCACCACTGTCCTCGCTTCCCTGCTGCCGCCAACCAGTTACTCTCTGGTAAAGCACTGAGTCCAGACAGCTGTTAAAAGTGCACCAAAAAAAACAAGTTTATTTTACAAACATTAACAAGTTTATGGTTTCTCAGATAATATTCCTGTCAGTATCTTAACTTTAGGGACGTGGGTTATACCACAGAGCCTAGGACTTGCTGATCAGAAGAGGTTTGTTGTTGACCTTTTTTTAGGGGTGGGGGACCCCAAAGTTGTTGGCTTTTTAAAAGAAATAGTTGTTTAGAACCTTTAGAACGGTTGTGGGACACAGGGACTCCCAGCGCCAACCAGGCACAGGGGTGTACGAAGGGGGGTGCGGGTTCCATGCGGGTGGCCCGCCCAGGCCATGAAGGAGGAGCTATTTTGGGAGCAGAATCTTGCTGCCAACTGGTCTGGAAAAAGTCAACAAGACTGCCTGGCCTGTTCTGGACAACCTTTGAGATCAGGATTATAGGCAGTATTTGCCGGAATAAATTAATGAGCAGAGCAACTTCCACCTCTGCAATGGGACCTTTCTTCCTCTCTTCCAACCCTGCACTGTCCCTGAATCTGGGTTTGGGGGAACCCATACAAAGGATTTAGGGGGATCACATGGGGAAGAGAGAGAGGAAAGTCCCACTGTGGTCCACTCATGCAATTATTTAATTGAATATCGCCCTGCGTCTGCATGTCGAGCTGCTGTTAAAAGCACAGCTACAATGGCCGCTTGAAAACACTACTTGGGGAGAAGGTGGAATCTTTTAAAATCATAGGCCAACCACAAGCAGTAGCATTTGGTGGGGGGGAGGCACTTAGCTTATCTCCCAATGCTGACATCACTGTGGCTTACAAGAAGGTAGAGGAGGAAGGAGGTGAGGATGATGTGGTGTGAACACACTGGCATGAGCACGAGTTTGGCTGCACCAGTGTGGAGAAAAATGTTTCTCTCTCCAATTTCCCCATGCCAGGCATCATTTAATCAACACTCATCATGTTGCCTCTTACTTATGAGGAACCGTGGTGGACTTGGAGACGTTTAGCCTGGAGAAGAGAAGGCTGAGAGGTGATATGAAAGCC